GGTGCCTAGCTTCCATTCCTTTTATCCTTTTTTTTTTTTTTTTGGTTCGAAAAGCAAAGGAACCGCAACTCGTTCAAGATTACTTACTAAAAAAAATAAAAATAAAAATAAAAAAAGATTACTTCCTCGTTGAAGATTCCTTTGATTAGTATGTGTTGTACTCAAAATCTGAACACGCGCTCACATCCGCCATTCAGCTTTAACTACCGAAGAAAGAGAAAGAAGAGACTTTCAATCCCGATAGAGCCCAGCCGCCCATAGAATGAGTAATAAGTATGTGTATCTCCCTACTACACCTACGACGGACGGTGATTACTGTTCCAACCTTATCCACCTTTCTCACTCCTACCAGGCTCTGCTAATCTTCGTATCAGCATGTCTCCCTGCTACAACTTTCTGTCCCCGCATTTTTAATCTTCCCTCAGTCTGCTTCTACCCCATCCTCCTCTCCCCCTCTCAAGCCAGGGGTCTCTCCTTCTCTTTTTCCCAATAACTAACTTGGCTTCTCAGCCAACGGTCCTGTACATTCATTCTGGGCCGCAACAGCTCCTCTTCTTTTCACCTAATCCGATTTATTTATTTTTTTATTGCCACAATATGTTATCATTTTTATATTTTTTTTTAATTGCCTGACAACCACGCTTTCATCTCCACATTTGTTTCTTCTTTTCTCTTTTCGCCACCGAACATCGCGATTCAACCCCCTGCAGCCATTGAAAAAGTTGGCGGCAGAAACGAAGGCATGCCGGCAGCAGGGGCAACTCTTCCCCACCTGCCGGCATGGGGGGAGAGGGCAGGGAGGCAGGGGAGAATAAAGTAGGTACTCATCTTTTTTGTACGTAAAACCTGAAATGAAAATAAACCAAGTCGATAGATAACTCGCCGCATTCCTTCTCAAACTACAATGTTCTTTTTCCCTTTTCGTGCCATATTCCTTCTCAAACTACAAAATTACTTATTAAGAGTGACCTTTTTTTTTTCACTTTTATTATTTCTTTTCAGGAAGCTTGTCAATTTATATATTTTCGCCATACATGTTTATGTAATACGCACTCCAGTCCATACTTGGATAGCAACTTGGCCATTGAATTTCTGTCGATCTGTCTTTTCCCAATCGTCTCTGTATTCTTCTGGCGTATTGTTTTTTGTTTTCCCGCCAATTCTTCAGCATTAGCATTCTTCTTAACTTACGAATTCCGCGCCAAAACAAAAAAAACGAAACTATAGGAAGTCCTGAAACAATCTATCGACTGGTCCGCTTGTTGTGTATGTATGTAAAATACGACCTCTTTCCAAAGGAGAGAAATAAGACACCTACCAGTAGTATCCTGATTCCTGACTACTCTCTCTCTCTAAGTTTTAAGAATGACAAAAAAAAAAACAATCACAGGACATTCTTCCGCTCCTGTTGCTCTCCTTTTCCCTGGTACATCTTACATTCTATTCAATAACCGCTAATTGTGACGCACAAGGGACGTTTTTCACAGCCATAAATCCTCTCTCTCTCTCTCTCTCTCTCTCTCTCTCTCTCTCTCTCTCTCTCTCTCTCTCTCTCTCTCTCTCTCTCTCTCTCTCTCTCAAACGAAATAATTGCTATACTTAGAATAAATAATGAAGAAAATTTTAATTTTATTCTTGTAATTTTTATTCTTATAACTTTAAATTATGACATCATATTGTAATTATGCAATAATTCTATACTAAATTAGTCGAGTACGAGATCCAATGTCTCTTCTTGCGTGGACTCACTAAAGTCAGGCCTTCGGCTTCGCCCACTTCGTGTCCTCAGGTTGCCTGGAAGTCCTCTCTCTCTCTCTCTCTCTCTCCCCCCCCATGCCAGCTGTTCCCGGGATCGACATCCATACCTCAATGGCCTCTCTCTCTCTCTCTCTCTCTCTCTCTCTCTCTCTCTCTCTCTCTCTCTCTCTCTCTCTCTCTCTCNCACACACACACACACACACACACACACACACACACACACACACACACACACACACATTTGCCGGCGGTCAAAGAACGGACAGCCATACCTGAATACCTTCCCAAATGGCGTAGCCGTACGGTCTGATGACCATCGTGCCTCGAACGGGCCCGTAGTCGGCGAGCTCCGCCTCGCGGATAACGTCCAAATACCATCTGCTGAAGTCTTCATCGCGAGGGCAGATCTTGCCAGCCTCCCCAGCGCCTCCCGCTCCCGACCCCCCCTTATTTCCTCCCGCCCCCTTATCCCTTCCTTCTTTTCCTCTCCCTTCCCTCCCCTTCAAATCCGTCTCTATGACCGAAGCTTCGGCGGCTACCCCTTGCCCTTGCGCTCGCGAGCGCAGCCCGCCGCCGCTGCTGGAGATGGTGACTACGCTCCTTCTCCTGCACCTTCCCCCGAGCCCGAGCCCCGCCGCTTCCCCGAGCCCCGCCGACGTTCTTGAACCCCACCCAAGGCACCGGCGCTCGTCCATCCATCCTGCCCGCTCCACACAGCACGATGAGCGCGATCTACGGCTGACGGGCCGCGTGCTAAGACCTGCTCCCCTCCCATGAAACAGCTGAGCGCGGCTGGTTGATCTTCCTGGTGATGCTATTCTCCAGCGGATAGTTGAAGGGGAGGAAGAGGAGGAGGAGGAAGAGGAGGAGGGAGGGCAGGGCGGTAATGAAGGGCAGGAAGGGCAAGGCGACGAGGAAGAGGGACGGCATCCCGCATCGTGCCACGTGGAAGCACAGCATGAGGAAGACGAGGCCATAGCCACAGCCGCGTCGGCTGCAGTTCGATGACGCCGAAGGTTTCCCACGCCTCTTAGCGCAGCGCTGGCTGCAAAGCGGGTCGCCATAGCTGTCCTACTCATTGCACTGCTAGCGATGGCGGCGTTTGTCCTCTCGGACAAACTCCGTCTTCACCGTGGCGGCACGGCTGATCCCACAACCGGTGGCCGACTGAACGGAACTGCCCAGTACCGCGTTCGTCACCCTACCGGTAGGACCCCAAGAAGCAGTCCGCACTGCCGGTCGTTTCGCTGCCCCTCTCCCTCCTGAAGGACAAACCAACGCCCATGGCGCAGGGCATTGCACAGTTCACCCACGGCGTTCTGCCATGTCTCCTAAGGGCGAAACGGCAGTCGGACCATTAACAGCACAATTGAGGGCATGTTCGCAAAGAAGCAGATAGGGCCTTTTCGACTTCCTGTTTCCGAAAATGGCTGATTTGCCCCTATAATTTGTGCTAACCTGCGAGCCGCCCCTGGAGTTTCTAATATGTGCACCATGCCCATCCAATGACGGTCCATATTTGTGGAATATCCATCACGTGGTCTGGTCATTAGCTCCATTGGTTAAATATTTTCCCGGTGCCCGCCCCTGGCAGGGGCCGACCTCCTATTAGCTGGTCAATAGTGCAAACCCTGGGAAAATGAGAAGCTTCATTGATGAATCCGCCTATGCCTAGTTTAGACAAGTTGTCTGCTCTCTGCAAACTGTGGCTTCATCTCCCTGTAGCTAACTATGCAAGTTTCCTCTGGCTGATAGCTCATCCTGCTCAGCCCACAGTGCTTTGTGTTAGCTTGTGACGCACCGACTTCTGTGCATGGACAAGCTTCTAAGTCCCCTTCTCTCTTTTTAGTACCTTCCTAGCAACCGGGGTGGATCTAATCCAGTTCCAGTTCCTCTACCCTGTCCAGGTTGCATTTTTGGTGGATGGTGATGTCGGGTTCAGGATATCTTGGTCGTGGTTTTGGCCTCTCATTGTTCGAAGGGCTTGTCTTTGATGAGCCCCAATGCACGAGACACGTCGGCCAATCTTGTCTTTTCGTTTCTGCAATTTTTGGAAATTTTCTTGCATTTTGCTGTACTTTTACGTAGAATTTACGAGCGCCTTAGCAAGCACGGTCGGAATTCCTTTTCTCGGATTTTTCTTGAAGTATAGGAATCACGGGTGCCTACTGAGATACTTTGCAACGGCACCGTGAAATTGTTGTTGACGAATGGTAGTATAGGAATAGACAGGAGTTTGCGCGTTTCGATTACGCGCTCAGAATTTTCTTTCCAACTTTTCAATTCCAGTTCGGCTTTAGGAATTAGGCGCAATTTCATTGGCACTTCGCGTAACTGTTTCGGTGCCTTTTTTTATTTCTGCTCGCATGCATCCTTCTGCGCCATGCTCCCGCATGCAACCTTGTCTCGCCCCTCCGACCCCTTTCTTCGTGCCATCATCGGTAAACCGTAACTGTCTTTTTCTCCGTCCCATCACACTCTTTCTTTCTCCATGCTTCCATTGAGTCTTGGTCTTGCTCCGTGTTGTTTTTCATAACCTCCTTTCCCCCCTTCGTCTACACACGGGAAGACTCTGCTGATCCCCCAAGTAATCATGGAGTAGGACGGCGGCGTGTAAGTTGGCTCCAAACTCCACGCACTTCGATCTGATTGGCTACGAAGTACTCTACGCGAATCAACATGGGCTTCCCGAGAGTCTCCCCCTTTCTCATCTCCTCTATTTTCTATCCCTTCTCATCATGCACTTCCCCTCCTCCCCGCGGCTATAAACCTCGCAAGTGCAAACGATGCACCCTCTCGCAATATATCGGTCAACTCTGGGTGGAGGAGTGGCTATATGAGGTGGTGATCAGCGAGTCGGAAAGTCCTAACGAGCTAGCTGCAACTTTGCGGGATTGCACGCTAGATCGCTACAACGAACTGCAGGATCCGGGCGAATCCGCGTAATAGTTGAGTAGACAGAGTAACGATCGCTAGGGCTTAGTGTTGAGTACTCGGCGGTCAGGATCACCAGTGCTCAAGCAAGGAGATGTGTGTTGATGGTTGGTTGGATGAGCAAGGGGCCACAACTCGAGAACAGTCGGCTTCATGTCTGGTTTTCTTGTCCTTCTTCTTCCTATATTTGAAGTTGCATGGCGCGATGCAAGTTTTTCTTCTCAATCGAGCGAATGTATATTCTCTTCCCCTTTCTCTCCTTGTGGATGTATGAATGGATAATTGTTGTATGTGTTTAGCTCACATTGGCATAAATTAATGTGTCATTGAGGTCCGCCTGCTGTTTCGCCCTTCCGTTGTCAAAATCTCATTGGTCGAGGGTCGTTGAAACGCAAGAGACGACGGACGTTGTTGGATGAAATGCATGTCTCTCTTCTGTTTCTCTCTCGGGAATCGAAGTGATTATTGGATGATGAATGCATGAATGTGGCTCTCTTTTATTTCCTCAAAGTTAAGGATTTTTTATGTTTTTTTGAAGAGGTTTCTCGCGCTCTCAGTCGACGGATTCAATTCGTCCCCTGGTACAATTTTTCATTTGCAAGAAAAATGTAACGAGGAGATTTATTGCGCCTTTGCGAATGTGAAGCACTCCAGTATACTAATCTTCCTTTCGCCCCCGTCTTATCTTTATTTGGAATGAATGTAATTTTTTGTATAATCGATGGGTTTTGGAATTACCACCTCTTAAAGTTGCTCAGCTCGTGAAAATATTTTATTTTTTTGTCGCTTCCAAGGGACTGCCCTTTCCTTGCAGCACTTCAGGGATTTTTGTTGACGTCACTCATAGTTTGTTTTCTCCTTTATTTTTATTTTTCTTTGAAGAACCCGTGATTGCTTGCTCGGAAGCCCTCCCTTGAACACTTTCATCAGTTTTCTGGGTAATCCCCCTTCACAGAAGAGCATTGAAGTCACGCCGTACTACCTGATTTCCGTTGTGAAGACGATTTTCGAAGTTAATGGGGAAACCATCCCCACTTGCGTCGTCTCACAACCAATTTCGATGGGCTCATCGAAGCTGTTTTTCAATTTTTCGCGTGCTCGTTTACCCAAATCCCTTCCTGCGATCGTCGCCAAGATCAACAAACCTTATCATTTTCCTTCCAAAACACAGTGCTCTGGGTTCGTCAATTCGGATTCTGTGATTGTGAATACTCATTTTCCTCCCAACTTTGTTTTGCTTCCTTTCAACGAGTTGATCGTCGTCCTGTGACCGACAATTGTTCCTCATTGGCCTCGCACCCTGTGCAACGATTGTCGTTCAAGTTCCCAGCCCAGGGGTTCAACTATCGAACACGTTGTCAGACCAAATACCCTTACAAGGTTATTTGGCCATGCTTTTGCAGACGACACAACGACGACATCAGTTCCAAGACAGGGTCGGTATGAAGTTCAAGGCGCGTGCGTTTTTTGCACGACACTTTGAAACAATTTCCTTGACCATTGAGGTCGGGGCAAATCGGTGAAAAATTTTGTTAAGTATGCGCTCGCGTTATTGAGACGTGCGCTCTGATGGTTAGAATCTATAGTAATACCCTTCGGCCGAGAAGGTCGAGCGGTCAATTGAATTAGTGTTATGTCAGGTAGATCTATGACGCACGCTGAGACCTAATCATCGGTACATTAGTCAAGATAAATTAATATACGCCCCGACCATACGGCTGGAGCAATTATTAGTGTATGATCGTCAGGTTTGCGGTAGCGCCCGGATTGCTAGCACTTGCTCGAGCAATACCTCATACCTTACTCATATACTACAAGCTAGGTTGAGGCTCTCGCTCGACCTCCCATGTGAAGGGAGGTGTTTGCCTCTTGGACGGTGACTTCCTGACCGCGCGGTAATCCAAGCAACCGGTATTTCCTCCCTTTCCGATGGAAACATCATTGCGGTCCCCCGTATCGTCCGCATATGCCCTAGACTCAGGCTACTTGAATTGGTAACCGCCTATCTACCGGTACTAGGCCGCCTCTAAAAATGTTAACTTTTGTCTTTTTCTGCTCGGTCTCGAGTACCCGACACATCTACCTCTACTTGGTGAGGTACCGGCCTACCTGCTACTTGAGTGTTTTCCACAACTCTTAAGTGTTGTGGGCCTCTTTCCCTACCACTTGAGTGTTTCCCCCGTCGCGATCCTCAATGCCACGTCTGCAGGTAAGTACCGGCCCTTCGGGCATTCTGAACAAGCAAGTGCCCTTGTGGGTCATGCACACAATCAAGTCGACAAGCACTCAGATGGGCATGCAGACCGACAACCGTACACATATACAGACTTAGAAATGTATGTACAACTAGCCCCACTACTGTATTTATATCATGACAACTCCTTTTCCTTTTAAAGTGGGAGCTAGCTTAGTAGGTTTAGGTGCAGATTGATAAGCAGGAGATGCAGGGATCGAGTCCGCCTGACCCTGAGCTAGCTCCTTTTTACAAGGAGCTCTACTTTAGTTTCACCCGTTTTTGGTCGGCCAAGTTTTGAACCTACGACCTTAATAGTAGAATTAGTTAAAAACAGTTGGTTAGTTAGAGATGACTATAGCGGGGCACGATACTTGGCACAGACTGATAGCTGTTAGTTAGATCTTTCTTTTATTTGTTTTATGGATTTTGACAGATATAGTTAGATTCTCCTTTATTTATGTATTTGTTTTTATTTTTTTGTCTCCTTTCTTTTTTTCGATCTCATACTACACGAGACAGATTCGTGTAGATGAATCCGCAATTGGACCTCAAGAAGGTTCATTCCCATAGGAGTTGTTGATACGGGGCCTCAGGCTTGGCCCGCTCGATACTAGCTCGCACCCTTGAGAAATGCAGATCGCGAGAAAGGGAGTTCTCGACCACGAAGTCGAGGCGGAGACGACTTCGAATGGGACGGAGAGAGATGACTATGGGGCGGACACGGCGCACGAAGGAAGAAAAGGGAGATGACCGCGTCATGGAAGAAGAAGACCGGCGTGAGGAAACGAGCACACGACCACGAGGAAAGGAGAGGAATACTGAGAGAGGGAGATGGAGGCGCACGAAGTGGAGAAACAAGGACGAAGGAGAGAAGTGGTCATGAGGAGGAGGAAGAGTGAGTAGAAAGGAAGTAAAGATGCGGGAAGGGAGAGAAGGTAGAACGCGCAGGGGATAGCGAGAATGAGCATGAGTGGGGTTAGCGCACGCAAACGAGAAAGGAGATGG